TTAATTTATATTATTATTTTATATTATATTTTTATTTATATATTTATTGATCTGTTATCCTGGGTAGCGTTAATTCTTCATTCGATTCATATATTAATTTATTTTCTTAGTGGACTTATGTACATTTTCGTGTATTTGGGTCTCTCTATTGTGATTAATTTGGGTCTCGTCAGGTCATATGTGAATGTTATCGTTATATAATTTGTTTGCTAATTTTAAATTTATTTTATATTGATCTAGTAAATCTCTCATTTCATCTCTTTTAAATAATAGTTATTTTCATATATTCTGCATATATGTCTGCTCAGTGCTTCTTTGGTACATATGTCGTTCGACGGTCTATACTTGTCTATCTGTATGTTTTAAAACTGTCACGTCTTTGCTTTCCTTCTAGATGGCGTTATCGGGGTCTCTGTCGTGTGCTATTTATCTGTGCTGTGCGGGTTGTCTTTCGGCGTCTTTCGGTTTATCTTGCTCCTCCTGTATTAGTTCTCGTCGGGAATATTCTGCCCTCTCTTTTCGTGTTCTGTATCCTCAACGTTATTACTGTCTGATTTGAATTCTTTGCCGGGGTCTCATCCCCCAGTCTGGTTATTCGATATTTATATTGTTCTCACGTGGTACTGGAATTCGCTAAGTGTTATCTTGGCGTGGATTGGATTTATTGTTTCGTCGGCATGTCTCGTCTTTTCATGTCTGTACTTCTTTTCTCTCCACTTTTTTTGTTCTGTCGGATTTGTTCCTGTAATCAGTTACTGCTCTTCTACTGTTTATTATTACTTAGTGGTCTGGTGAATATGAATCACGGGTTCCACTTGGTTCACTTATCGATTCTGTTCTTTATGTGTTTTATCATTTTTTAGTTGCTGTCATTAGTTTCTCATTTCTCATTCTATATCTATTTTTTCTGATTGTTATTTCTCTTTATCATATCTCTGGTTCTCATCACTTCAGTCTGAATCTGTCTATTCTTATACATTATCGACAATTTAATTCTTTCTTTTGTATCTGCTTATGCATCTTGCTCTGCTCTGTCTCGTTGTCTTCATTATCTTCTCGATAGGTCTCTCCGTTGCATCTACTCTTATATAATCGTTCGTCTCGCTCTCTTTCTCTTTGCTCGTTATATCCTCTTCGTTATGACCGTTGTGGTGGCTTGTGTGTGCTTGGGTTACTTTTGCGCTCTCTCTGTATTTCATATTTTCTTCTCCTCATATTTATATATTTTTATTTTATATTAATATTATTTTTTTTATATTATTTTTTTTTTTTATTATTTTTATTTTTATTATATTTTTTTTTATTTTTTTATTATTATTTTTTTTTATTTTATTATTTATTTTTTTTTTTTTCTATTTTTATTTCTTCCTATCTCTTCTTATTTCTTCTTCTCTCTTGTATCTTATTATATATATTTTTTCTTCTTTTTACACCTTCACGTAGCAGCGCATGACCGTAAAGCAGGTTGTCAAGATTTTTTGCTTTCGTGAAGGGACTTTAAAAAATCTAGGGAGGGCAGGATCTTTAGGGTGCGAGAAAGGTTTGAACCTTGACACACATAAAATCACACAGATTGTAGCACAGACGAGCGTATAATTTAAACATAAAAAACTTTTAGTGGCAATACGTTAATGACAAAAACAAGAATTTAGAATCGCACTTTTACAAAGAATAATCAAACCAAATCGAAACTTTACACACAGACCATGTGAATAACACATAATTTACTTTCAAAATTGATTACTCTGATAATACCTTTTTTTTCTATATTTCTCTCTTATCTATTTGTGAATTTTTTCTTCTCTCTGTTGTGTTTAAGATTAAATTATTATCTATAATTTGTTGTCTCTCTTTATATATTTTACTCTCTTTGTCTCTATTCTGTTGTATTATTAAATATAATTTCTCATTATCTTATATTTCTCTTCTTTTTCTGTTCTTCTTTTAAATTGTATTTATTTTTATTTTGATATATATATATATTCATGGATAAACAAAATCTCAACAGGACCTTATGCCTTAAAATTCAGAGTACTCAAATGTGTGCTCTGAACGTGCGTAAGTATGACAAACTAATGACATTTTTAGCATTTTAATATTACATTATATTACAGAATTTATAGAATTAGTTGTGTACACAACAGGTAAAACAAAGGTCTTGAAGCATTAAAATACTCTATTTGTGATGTAAATAAAATAATTGATTCACTTAGTCTAATTTTAAGGACCATGATATTAAAAATATATTATTATTAACTTGATTGGCCACATTGGACCACTTGAGTCGTTCCACTTCACTTTTTACTGTTCA